AAAAAAAAAAAGAATGAGTTAAAAAAAATGTGATAATACATATAATTAAATACCTAAGAATTTACCTGAACAGCTAGTTGAATTCAAGGAAACTTTGGAAGAACATTTTTCACAAACAACGCGTCCACACAAGCGGCAATGATGTCTGCGATTTGTTATCTTGCCAAATTGAGTTCTATGTTCAAACAATTAAATTATGTAAATTATATAAAATTATTATTTATTTTTTTTTAAATAGGTTTAATCAATATTCTATTTTTTTTTTTTTTTTTACATACTCGCACAAAGGACAACTTGTAACTGATGCATCATCTTCCCATTTAACAATAGACTGTTCAGAAGCTATTTGTTATTTTGTTTATTTTGTTATTGAATCAAAATTAAAAAATTTTTTTTATAAAATCAAAAAATAAATCGTACTAAACCACAAAAAATTTGTAATGAAATAATTTATATTTACCTCTCCTTCTATGCATCATAGTTAAAGGAGGTTTCAATCCACCCTGTGTGTTATTTTCAGGGCTTGATTGAGTAGCATAAACTTTGGCAAGCTAAGTATGCAAATAAAAATAATAATAATAGTAATAAATAAATAAGTAAATAAAAATTATAATATTAAATTTACAGTAATAACATAAATAAAAATAAATTTTTTTTTTTTCAATAACCTTTTCCAAACGTTTTTCCAAACGATTTCCTTCTAAATGCACCCTTTCAATACCTTTGGTTCTGCATTTAATGAATGTTGTAGTGTGACTTCTCATCACCCCTAATTAAATTCAAATTAAATTCAATTGTATATTGATAAAGAAATGTTAAATAAATAAAAAAAATAGATAAACATGAATAAATACCTTCAGTATCTAAATAACCTTCACGAGATTGAAAACAATCATCACAAACTCTACACCAAAAACCATCAGGATCATGATGGGCTTGTTTATTCAATTTCATAGGTACACGGCAATGAGCATCACAAAAAAGTTTTCCGCACCTATATAAAATTCATTTAACTTCTATTTTATTCAAAATTTGTACAATAATAAAAATTTAAAAAAGAAAAAAAAAAGAAAAAAAAATAAAGATTCTACTTTCTACAATTATGTTTTCCATTTCTCAAGTTTAAAGATTTATCGCAAGTAGAATTGGAGCAGATATCATTTTCACCTTCTAATTGCCAATGAATTTTTGTAACAAGGTCAGATTGTTGATCCAACCAATTCGAATCAAGATCGTTTAATTTATTAATAGCCATTTGAGGTAAATTAGCAATATTTTTTGCCTTTGATGATAAAGGATTCAAAATAGTTGATTGAGCTTTCTTAAATAATTGAATAAAACCATCTCTTTGATCAGTAGATGTATCATCTATATCATCTATATGAATATCATGAATATCATATAAATGCCTATAAAGTTGATGAATTGAAATCATAGATTCATTGCAGATTGGGCAAACACAATGTTCAATGTTTGAAACATCATCAAAAGCGAAAGATTCCCGTTGGGAATTATTTGCCGGAAAAGAATTCGACGGTGTCGATAAATTTGAGAACGAATTGGAGTCAGATACGGAACTCATCATCGGCTTAAAAAATCCCGTAGGGAATCAATCAACTAAGATGAAAAATAATATATATATATATATATATATATAATGAAAATTTTTTTTTTTTTTGAACAAGGTTATTAAAATAGGTATAATAGGGTAGGTAAATCGAATAGGGAATTTATAAGTATTCAAAGTTGAAAATAAAATTTGATAATCTCGGGTATTAATATGATAAACTTACTTAATAAGGACAAATAAATATGCTGAACAGTAGATCAACCATTTTCGATACATATGAAATACTTTTGTTAATAAAAATTTTTGGGATTTTTTTTTTTTTTAAACATTAAATTCGATTTAATCGAATTTGTATTTTGTCTTAAAGACTTACCGATAAAAATAAATTTATCTAATGTTTTTTAATTCGCAAATTTAAAGAAAAACAATAATTTTAGCTAAAGAGCAAAAAAAAAATTTTTTTTTTTTTTTAATATTATTATGGCTGTATTCAAAGAAAAATTTCACATACTTTATTATTTATTTAACACTCAAACACAAACATTTATACTTGAAAGGTGGATAAAGAAGTTAAAAAGAAGTTTTTTTTTTCCTTTAGAAAAAAAAAAAAAAAGATAGGGAACGAAATTCTAGGAAATTTTATAATTATTATTATCAATTCTTTTAAGACATTCTTTTTTTGAAGCTATAATAATTGTACCTGTGGGAGGTTCGACACTCCAAATGGTCCGTTTTTTTTTAACTCTTATAAAGAATGCCAAAATATCGAACCCTAAATGTTCTTTTTTTTTTTTTTTAGAGACAAAAACGGTTATCTAAATAAAAAAAAAAAATTCCAGTATTGTTTCAAGCCGACCCTGATTTATAAAATCAAGCACGTGACAAGTAGTCACGTGATTTATTCTTTTTGTCGCAAATATTCAAGGTTTACTTTACGTAGCTTTGCAGTAAACACGCACATACTTTCTTTTCTCGATAAAATGTCCAAGGATACAGTTGTCTTTAATGTAGGTGGTACAAAATTCCAAATTCAACGTAGTTTAGTTCAAAGTTATCCAAATAGTTATTTGGCAGCTTTGGCTAATTCCTCCGAAGGTCAAGAAATATTTGTTGAGCATAATCCATTAGCCTTTAGTGTGATACTCGATTTTCTTCGATATAAACGCTTAATGGTACCAAAAAATGTAGCTCAAGAGGTAGTTGAACTTCAACTAAGAGAATTTGGAATTCCTTATGATAATTTAACGGAAGTTATTGACGATGAAGAATTACCTAGTTACGCTGCTACGATTGGAAATTCGTCATTAAGAGATACAGTACTTCAGGCTTCAACTCGAAGGTAAAACTTGTAAAGAAAAGAAAATTAAATAAATAAATATATATATATATATATTTTGATAGCTCAAGAGAATTTTAATTTTTTTTTTTTTTAAAAAAAAGGATGGATACATTAATATCGGACGTAATTCTCCCTTACTTAAAACGACACGCAAAACGGGGTCATCGACATGTTATATTCTACTTAACACCTAATTCCGTGACTCAAAAAAACCTAACGTCAGAACTTGATAATATCAATGATCCACATGAATGGATTCATTTACCTTCGAGAAATGAAGCAACAGAAAAGGAAGATCAAAGTGATCTACCAGATTTACAATTTTTATTGCAAAAAGATCAATTAAAACGATTAGGAGAATTGATTACTAAAAGATCAGGAGTTAAGAATGTAGAAGTTTCAGAAGCAGTAGTTAGTTGTAGAACAGAAAATGAGTTTGGGTTGTTATTTTCCAAACTTTTCGATATTATTGAGATTAAAGCCATTATTATGTGATCTCATACTACGTATACCACGTATACTTGATACATACTTGATACTATATGATTATATGATTATATGATTGAATGTATACGTAGAACCATTCATTACCTGTTACTGTATCAACGATTTACGATTTTTTATTGTACTTATATTTATTTCTGTATTGATCATGTAAATTTAACCAAATTGTATTTATATATTTTGTTTGTATTTTTTTTACAATTCAAAATTCTGAATTAAACATAGCAGAGAATTTTTAATTAAAAAAAAAAAAAAAAGAAGAGATTTGCATATAATTAAAGGTTTAAATTGTATCGCATAAAAATACAGATAATTATATTCAAAGAAATGAAATATTCTATTATCTGTAAAAAAAAAAAAAAAACCCCCCAAAAAAAGGCTTAATATCGAGTTTAGCATAATAATTGTTGAACAGTCATCCCTCGTCTTGGTGAATCATTTTCGGATTCTTGCATATCCTCCTCCGATTCTTTAAATTCTTTGGATTCTTTAGATTTTTCCCATTCATGTATAGGAGAAAGATTTGGCGATGTTTGAGTTTCAGAATCTTTCATAGACACAGAACGTTTAGAACTAATAGTAGTTGTTGTTGACTTTGATAGCATCAATAAAGCATTAGCTTCTTCATGATCCAATGGTTTTTTCGTTTTGTCAGATATTTTTGATATTGTCGTTGAAATATTATCGTCCTTATTAATATTTTCAGAGTCAGATACTTTTTTAATACCAGACTCCACTATGTGGTCTAAAGATGATGATGACGAAGATGAAGAAGGTGGTGATGAAATAGAAAGATTATTCTTTGATTTGTTTTTATTATCAGAAGTTTCGAATAATCTTGATTTTGAAGGAGGTAAAATGTCATATCGATCAAATTTTGATCGTTTAATAAATCGACCATCTTCTAAAGATTCATCATTATCAAATTTACCACCATCTTTTTCACGTTTTCTATAAGTAATAACTAAATCTTGTAAATATTGAATATATTCAATGGAACTCTGCAGAATGCTCAATTTGTGCAAATGATCTTGATCAGCACAACTTGGTATTAATTCTTTTAATTGCATAATTTTGTCATTAATCCGTTCACGACGTCTTCTCTCAATAGCAGAATGAGAAACTTTACGAGCCAATTCACGTTGATCGGCTGTAGAAAGAGATTTATCAGTAGAAATTGAAGAACGATGATGATTATGATGTGGAACGAGAGGATGAATGACAGATGTATGATGTTGCATAGTTGGTCGAGCGGTAGAAGAACCCAAAGAGGAGTTTGTGGAAGAAGGAGCCACGGGTACAGAAAAAACAGAAGTTAAAGGACCCAACTGTTTTGGTAAAATGCGTTCGTATCGGGAATGAGAAGATTGTGGTGGAGAAGCATTTTGTTGTTGAATAACAGAAGTTGGGGAAGGAGGAAGCATTGATTGAGAACCATGTAAAGCCAAAGGAGATAAAGGCTGAAGAGGTGGAGGAAGTTTAAAGGCACCTTGGCCGGTATAATCATTATGTAAAGCTTGAGAGAAAGGGGAATCAGGAGGAGTTTCGAAAGGAGGTAAAATAGCAGCATGTTTAGAATGAGGACTTGGACTTGCTTGAGACATATGAAAAGGAGAAGTAGGAACATAAGTTTGAGTTTGTGGAGCAGGAATAATAGGACGATAACTTGACGGCGACTGATGTTGATTCTGCATCACGATAAAATTCTATCAGGATCGTTTAAAGAAAACGTAAGAATGAGTAAAAGAGAATTATAGGTAAAGGTCTAACTATATACAAGAGTACAGAGAATATAAGAAGGCGCTGTTTGAAAAAAAAAAAAAAAAAAGATTACATATATTATAAATTGATCGATTGGTCGGGGAACTCACGTAATCTAAAATGGCGATTGGATAACGATAATGTAATTATTGTTATAGCGATAGCTTGATTTTAAAATCACATATTTTAGCCAATACATTTCTTTGAGTTTGACATGTGCGTACTAGTGCATAAATTAATAATATCGATATATATTAAAAAGCAAAAAAGTTTCACATTTATAGTTATAGAAATCGTATGGATAACATGTGAGCTCATGAACTTTTCCAATTGGCGCAAAAAAGACGAAAAGAGGTTAGTGTCACATTGAGAACAATACTTTTTGTAATTGAACAATGAAACATTTAAATCATCTAATTTTTTTTTTAGGCAAGTAACGAAAAGACTTTCATCAAAGAGATAATCTTAGATTTCAGTTCAAAGTAATTTTTAAGAACAAAAAAAATATCATGAAATGTATTACATTTAATAATGCGTCCTTGAATAAGTTTTTTTTATTAGTTTTATTATTATATATACAATATATATATTTTTATTTGGGTTTAAGTTTTTCGTGCACCTGCATTGTAGTGCACCCCTAATTTTAACCAATAAAAATAGCGATTTTTTGTGTCACGTTACACCAAATTTT